GTTAATGTTAGCCCCCCATCCCCAAAAACATGGAGACCCTTATAGTATTCAGTTCTACGTGCCGTACAGTCCCCTTCACCCACTTCTCCTTTGATATATAGGGAACGTACGGTTGACTTGCTTTTGCCTCCTAGAAAAGATGTCGTGAGGCGTTTGTTTTACCTGTATGAATGCATTGCGTCCTGACTGAAAGCAAGTTTGCACCTGCAATACATACAAATTTGCAAGGTTTCACTACTTTCTCAGGTATAACTCTCACCTCCACAGCCTACACATCCATAGCCTGGGCTTGAAAAACCACCTCTCTGCCAACAAATCTAGATCAGTAAAAAGCAATGGATTCATATATAATTAGCTGTCAATAGTGCACTAATCCCACTAATATGGGCTCTCCATGCTCCCTGTTGTTTCCACCTACCATGATTAACCAATCTCTGGTATGACCAATCATGCTTTGCTTATTCGGGTGATCTGAAATACGATATATGCCGTAACCTAGTTCTGATTCCTTGGTCAGTGGCGAATGATATCAAATTTGACAGATCATACTGTGAGGATTCCCCCTTTATACCTCAGCAGTCGGTACCTTACCCGCTACTTTGAATTCCACCTTCTGGTTGCATCTACTATTGGATTTAGATACGTTTGCGACACCGCTGTAGGAACCAAATCAATGGCTAAATTGAGTTTCAAATAGCTGTACAACGGAGATTTAATTGACATCTACTTGGTGACAAATTGTGTACTAAATTACCCTGTATCGATAGCAAGTAGGCACCGAATTGTATACTAACTCAAGTAACAAGTTTGAAACAGAATTCTTCACAAAACTGCAAAAAATGAAGTTAAATCGGGGACTGGAAGGCAACAAAACTAGTACAGTAAAAAGTCCACTGTAGGAGCAGACAAACAAAAGTGCTCCGCTCTAGTAGTAGAATGTTGGACAGGATTTTGAGGTTGCCCGGGAACCGTTGCCCCACAATTCCCCATTCCGTGCCTACGGATTAAACAGGCCGCCCAGAGTCCATTGCCATTGTCAAATATGTAGGTACCGGGGGTGGTGGTCGTGATGGCAGGGGCGTAGGTGGTGGTTGGGGGTTGTTGGGCAGGGTAACTCACTGTGAGTCTTGGCGGCCTGTCCTGAAGCACTTCCGGCGCCATCCCTCACCGCTCGGGTACCACGATCGATGCCAGCATGGTACCGAAAGCACCGTCTCAACCTCACGATCATGACGGAGCTCGAAATTTAACGATGCCGAGTTTCCCCATCCTCCGCTTCGATGGAACACATGAATTTCGGATTCTGACCTCCGGGTTACCGGATTGGGCGAATCCCATTCCTCGACTCCGATGTGTTTTATTATAACGACTCGGATTCTGATCTCCAGCTTACCGCCCGGTGTGTTTTCGAACAGTAATCCGGATTTCAATCTCGGATCATGATATTTGCAATACTAGAAACCCAATATGTGAGTGACAATCCATGACCAACATTCCATATTCTGTATTGTTGCACTCTGGTAGGGCAATCTCGGACCGGATTTCGAGGTTGGTCAAGAACCGTCGCCCTACAATTCCCGATTCCGTGGCTATGGGTCCAACAGGACGCCCTGAGTCCATCGCCATCGCCAAATATGTAGGTACCGGGGGTCGTGGAGGTGATGGCAGGGGCGTGGGTGGTGGTTGTGGGCTGTTGGGTAGGGTAACTCCCTGTGAGTCTTGGCGGCCTGTCCTGCAGCACTTCCGGCGCCGTCACTCACCGGTCGGATACCACGATCGATGCCTGCATGATACCGAACGCACCGTCTCAACCTCACAATCATGACGGCGCTCGAAATTTAACGATGCCGAGTTTCCCCATACTCAGCTTCGATGGAATACATGAATTTCGGATTCTGACCTCCGGGTTACCGTATTGGGCGAATCCCACTCCTCGACTCCGGTGTGTTTTATTGCACCGACTCGGATTCTGGTCTTCAGCTTAACGCCCGGGTGTGTTTTCTAACAGTAATTCGGATTTCAATCTCGGACCATGATATTCGCAATACTTGAAACCCAATATGTGAGTGACGATCCATGACCGACATTCCATATTGTGTATTGTTGCAGTCTGGTTTTACATATCTCCTGGTTAGGGTTGCTCAAAATTTCAAGAAAATGAATTACTTCTGGTAACTCACTGGATTATTTTTGCTGAGCCACAAACTGAACTCTTTTGAAACATTTTAGTGTTGTCTGAAAGCCGCTAACCCCGAAACCTAACGAAAATTTTCAAATATACTTACAAACTAAATTGTGATATATAATATTAACAACTTACGATTTTAACAACACCGATAAAATTTTTTACAAAGACGATGCTGTGTGTCAATAGACTGCAGAATATACTAAAATCTTATCGCATATTTATTTGTACGGAACCTTATTGACACAATTGTCCCTGAATTGTGAACTCTTATCCCTCCCTAATTACTTGTTTAATAAAGAAAAACAATTTTTGTAACCATAGCAAAATACTCGTAACCTGTCATACACAACCCCCTTATGCCCCTCTACCCCACCGAGCCCTGAAGGCAGGAAAAGAAGACTTTTACAAGTCTCCCCTGTCTCCAACTGGCTCGGTATATCCATCATGTCGCAATAAGGCGTCCTGAACTTATGCTTTTTGAGAATCCTAACAACAGGAATTTTTGCCCCCCCACAGTTCGCCGAAACCTAACAAGCTCAATCAACTTAATCTACTATCATCGAACAAACCCAACTGAACAATGAATCATTCTTAATCTTCGCAGAATCCACCTCATACAATGAACCATACTCACCCCGATATTACTACATTTAGTTAAGGTTTGTCCTACAGGAATCAAACGCCGGAATAGACCTGAACTTTATGTTTTGGTTAGATTAGAGCAGGTAGTCATTGCATTACTATTATTTCAAAGTGGAATCAAAGTACTAAATTGCTATAAAAGAACCCGGTACCTTTTCAGAAAGTGCAGTAAAACAATTAATAATGATGATTCGGTTGAGTGCGGAAATAATTGTAACTCCAGAGGATCCCTGTAACATGAATACAGCGGCGCAGATTTTCTCGTCAAGCATTGATTTCTAATTGAAGATATTGCGAGTGCTTGTAGAGCACTTCGGATATTCCTAACAGTTATCAGAATGGCTTCCTACAAGTACCCCTCCAGTGCAGCACCTCATGTACTAAAACGCCTATGACTCCCAACAGGATTTGAAGAAGATGGAGAAATTGATGGGTGTGAGATATCTTCCTTACTATTATACTCATTTCTGATGGGGTGAACTTAGGGTTAAGGTTAGCCCCCCATCCCCAAAAACACGGAGACCCCTATAGTATGCAGTTCTACGTGCTGTACAGTCCCCTTCACCCACTTCTCCTTTGATATATAGGGGACGTACGGTTGACTTGCTTTTGCCTCCTAGAACAAGCGTCGTGAAGCGATTGTTTTACCTGTATGGATGCATTGCGTCCTGACCGAAAGCAAGTTTGCACCTGCAATACATACAGGTTTGCAAGGTTTCACTACTTTCTCAGGTATAACTCTCACCTCCACAGCCTACACCTTCATAGCCTGGGCTTGCACCACCACCTCTCCGCCAACAAATCCAGATCAGTAAAAAACAATGGAGTCATATATAATTAGCTGTCAACGGTGCACTAATCCCACTAATCTGGGCTCTCCATGCTCCCTGTGGTTTTCACCTACCATGGTTAACCAATCTCTGAGATGACCAATCATGCTTTGCTTATTTGGGTGATCTGAAATACAATATATGCCGTAACCTAGTTCTGATTCCTTGGTCAGTGGCGAATGATATCAAATTTTACAGAATATACTGTGAGGATTCCCCATTCATACCTCAGCTGTTGGTACCTTACCTGCTACTTTGATTACCACCTTCTGCTTGCATCTACTATTAGATTTAGATAACTTTACGAAAACCGATGTAGGAACCAAAGCAATGGCTAGATCGAGTCCCAAATAGCTGTACAACGGAGATTTATTTGACATCTACTTGGTGCCAGATTGTGTACTAAATTACCCTGTATCAATAGCAAGTAGGCACCATATTGTACACTAACTCAAGTAACAAGCCGGAAACGTAAATTTTTACAAAACTGCAACAAAACAAAGCTAAATTGAGTGGAGGGAGACATCAATGCCAGCACAATAGAAAGACCACTTTAGGAGCAGTTAAAAAAAAGTCGTCAGCCACCTAGGGTTAGTTAGGGTTAGTTAGGGTTAGTTAGGGTTAGTTAGGGTTAGTTAGGGTTAGGGTTAGGGTTAGTTAGGGTTAGTTAGGGTTAGGGTTAGGTAAATGAGGAACAAAGATCTCGAGAAGAGCTGCAAGATAGTGCCGACAGTAAAGGTATGGGGTACTCAGTTACTGTTTCGCTGTATGATGAAGCTCTTCAGGGCAGCAGCGATGGTGCGCTTATATACATAAGATCGCGCCAAGACGCGGGATAGTATTGCCCCGACTCCGGGTCGGAGTCGGGCATTCTATTAGCCCGCTTGTACGGGTGGGGGTACACCTCATTACAAATACAATGTATTACTAAACTGCCCGTAAATAGAATAGTGTGGGTACACTTACTCAATTAGGGTTAGCCTAGGGTTAGGGTTAGGGTTAGGGTTTCGAGCCTGGTGCTACTATTAAAGTAACCCCCCGAAGGGGACGGTGTTTCGAACACCGTAGTCCAGGTCATCTAGTTGCCTTCCTTTCCGTAGCTCAGGGCTATTGGATTGGATTTGGTCAACATCCGATTCTAACATAACGTTAAAACTGAGTGACTAATCATGTTCTAGAGATATCCATCGTCCCGCTAACGGGGGTCACGAGTCTCTCCTACGCAGTGCCAATTTGTTGTTGCCCGGTGAGGGGCTTCAACGGTTAAGCTCCGCATCTCATCGCTCAATAGAATAGCCATAGCCTATTCGTTGCTGCGAATCTGTTCACGATCATGACGTTTACTCAGCTCCGCTGTCGTTCCCATTGCGAAATGGTACTAGAGGTTGGTACATTATATCGTCTTCATCAGTTGACCCATCGTCCTCCCGACTTTGAGCGGCGAATAGGTCTGCGAGGTCGTTTGCACCCCGGTCAACAATCTCTCTGAAGTCATCAATGTGCATTCGAGAAAGTTTGGCGTTAAGAATAGACACGTCGTCTTGGAGATTACGTGTTCTCTTGTACGATATTACAAACCTTTGATCACGGATGGCTTCTGCGAATGTGCGATCGGTGGTATCCGTCGCTATCAGCTCATTCCATGTCTCCAGTATCGTAGCCTTGACACTGTTAATGTCAACTCCATTCCATACGTCATTGTACTCCGTCTTGAAGATTATCGGGGCGAGCCTTTGTGGTTCAGATTCTTTTTTATCTTTGGCGAGGCCCCATCTCTTTTCGACTTCGTTTTGTGTCCAAGAATGTAACACTTGACGAGGATATCCACGCGCGGTGAGTAGTTCCACGTACTCTGCTACTGCCGTTTTGTAGAATTCCTTCCGAGACGAGCAGGTGGCTATCCGGGTTAGTTCTCCTTGAAATCCGGCACGTTTTACGGTGATCGGATGTGAACTTTCCCATGGTATGCGCATGAAGTGATTGAAGGGTTTCCTGAAGAGTTTAAAGTCCACGCGGGTCTCTCCAGTTAAGATATCGATATCTAAGTCGAGGAATGGACTAGGTCCCTCGCCTTCGCGCATTATGGCCCATTCGACTTGGAGTGTCGGGCCTAGGTTGTGCTTATTCAATATAGCTCTGCATTGCTCCAACGAGTCTGCTTGAATAATAGAAAGGATGTCATCGATATAACGGCAATAGAATAAGACTCCATTGCCGTTGACATCTTTCTCCAGAAATTTACTCTGGTTATCGAATTCATATTTCGCTGCATAGAGGTTTGCGACGTCTGGGGAGCAAGCAGCTCCCATGGCTAAACCTTTCTTCTGCGGGTAGAATTTGCCATTAAATTCCATTACGGAAAATTTATTGACAATCGATATTGCACGGTGGATTAAATCACGTCGATTGACTAGATGTTCTGCGAGATAATCCGGGAACTCTTGAAGTAGCGTGTAGACAATGTCTGCAGCGTTACTAGGTATATTGGGGTACATCGCTACGACGTCCCCTGTACATACGTAAATATTACGTACAGTTCCTCTTGCAGGGAGGTTGACTAACCCCAGCAAATCTACGACATCCCGGGTGCTTTGGGCTACCCAAGGGATTGCTTTAGTCGTGTCTTTGAGTTGTACCTGCACCCACTTTGCGAGTGGGGATGTTACCCATGAATGTCCAGGACAGATGGGCTGTATTTTCCAGGGTTCTTTATGGATCTTAGGGATTCCATGGAACCTGGGTACGTCCGCATCATGTTTCCACCTTTTAAGATATTCATGTTCTTGGGCGGGTAACACCGGTTGTGCGGCTTCAATGAAATAATTCATTTCAAGTCCGACTTCGTGGATGGTATTAGCCAACCATTGGAACGATCCAGCAGTAGTAGGGACGTGACGCCGAAGCATCTCGCCATTTACCGCATCAGCGTAAGTAATCCAGTCTCGAGGACCTTCGTACTCACCGACTCTTACTGGATCAAGTTCATAATAGTTGGCTTTGTCTTGGAGTAATTTTTCAACTTCCGTGACATACCAGTCGCGTCCAAAAATGACCGGGCCTAGGTTTTTATCGCTTCCTTTGATCATCAACTTGTGACTTTCTAGGAATTCGGAGAGCTGCTTCCACCGAGGACGACGATCTCGGTTTGTTCTGGTATTGAAGGGTTTGACGCACATTGAAATCAATGTTTGCCTGCCGCGATCAATACCCCTCTCTAGCTGTTGGCTCATTTTGGGTGGATCTTTTCGTTCCCTAGGGATCTTAAAGTCCGGGTTCCACGTTTCATCATCTTTTTTGTCACTTTTAAAGAAATAATATTTCCAACGCAAACGGTAGGTAAAATCATTATAAGCCTCGGTAAGGAGGTCTTTATTAAAAGTAACTGGATACAAATATTTCATATTGACTCCTAATTCATAGGTTACCCAATCGGGTACCGTGATTCCTTCCTGCACATGTGGACCTGGCCAAAACCGACGAAGATTACTAAATCGATTAGAATTAGCTTTCGCTGCCAGCACTGTGTTTTGTAGGTAAGGGGGGAGCCGAAGTATTTCATCCGGGTAAGAAGAAGGGTTTTCGAAGCTAAATGGGAGAGCTACTAACCTCATCGCTTCGCTTTCTTCTCGGCACCTTTTCCGTCTGTTGAAGGCTTCCTCTTGTGGCTCTTCGTGGACGACGCTGGATGTGGAGCGGATTGGGTTTTCACCTTCTCTTTTCCTTTTCCTTTCGATTTTTTGATCCCCTGAGGTTTGTTTCCCTTGGGGGCAGCCGGTTTCTTGACCTATAAATGTAAGCGGCGCAAAGTCAACAAGGGGTCACCCTCTCTTACATTTTTGGTCTTATGGGCTTGTTTTTTGTCCTTCAAGAGGATCCCCTTGATGAGTCGAGAAAGTCTAGCTTCCTCGGACTCAGGGGTTTCCTGTGCCACTCGAAGGATCGTACGCTCTTTGAGAGAAACTTTCTTCTCAAGGAGGTAGTCTTTGTTTGCCTGCCTCGTACGTGCCATCTCAAGGACACGTACTGCCAATAGAGGGGCAAGCGCTAAGGCCGCATCCCTTTCTACCAACAAAAACTGGGGAATCTCCATTTCTCCAGCGATATCCCGTTGGTCTCTCGACTCAGTTGGGGCATCGCCTTGATTTATGTTGACGTCCTCCTGTCCGGGCGCGACCCGTGTTGGAGCTTGGCACTTAGGAAATCTTTTTTAACTGCCGCACGCAGCAGTTCGTCCAGATTTCCCAAGGAGTTTAGGACTTGTAGGTATTCGAGCTCTGCCTCTTTCTGCTCGATGATGGTTTGATGCAGTCTGAGGGCGCACTCTTGTTGGATAGCGGCCATATCCCGAGCCGCCTTCTCCTTTAATTCCGTGGGGTATAAGGAGGTGAACTGAGTGCCAACCTTGGATCGCACAATGGGGTTGACGGCAGTCGGGAGTTTCTTCTCGAACAACTGCTTCTTCAGTGCTTTGATGGCGGATTGCACTCCCACGATCTTCGTTGCTGTCTCAAACGCAGACAGCAATACATCGAAGCATCGCATGCGAAAGGAGGGGTGCAAGAGACGTTTGATGTCCTCCATCTTTTCCGCCGGTGGGATGGAGGACAGGAGGTTCGCTAACGGAGAAACGTAGTGATCCTCTGCTTGGTGCCCGTCTTCGTCGATTGAGGCGAGCATAGCGGCATGAACCTGCGCCTGCCATGCTCTCTTATCTAGAGGGCGTTGGTCTGGCCGATGACGTTGGCCTGACCTTTGAGAAAGGGGGGAGCCCTCCTTACGTCCCCAAGTTTAGTCATGGGGACGTCGGCGATGTTACCAGGCAGACGGAGGCCTTGGTACTGGCGGGGGAAGGAGGCGGAGGACTGGCTTTGGGAGGTGGACTGAGTGGACATTGTTGAGATCGGATTTAGAGTTAGGTAAATGGGGAACAGAGATCTCGAGAAGAGCTGCAAGATGGTGCCGACAGTAAAGGTATTTGGGTACTCAGTTACTGTTTCGCTGTATGATGAAGCTCTTCAGGCAGCAGCGATGGTGCGCTTATATACATAAGATCGCGCCAAGACGCGGGATAGTATTGTCCCGGCTCCGGATCGGAGTCGGACATTCTATTAGCCCGCTTGCAAGGGTGGGGTACACCTCATTACAAATACAATGTATTACTAAACTGCCCGTAAATAGAATAGTGTGGGTACACTTACTCAATTAGGGTTAGCCTAGGGTTAGGGTTAGGTTAGGGGTAGGGTTAGTTAGGGTTAGTTAGGTTATTAGGTTAGTTAGGTTAGTTAGGGTTAGTTAGGGTTAGTTAGGGTTAGTTAGGGTTTTAGGGTTAGTTAGGGTTAGTTAGGGTTAGTTAGGGTTAGTTAGGTTAGTTAGGTTAGTTAGGGGTTA